TTGTAATTTTCAAACTCTGCCCTATATTTAGTGTCATAATTGTTAAAACAGACCACAAAGGTGATACATTTATTAGCACACATTGTGTATTTTCTTTAAAAATGAAACTGAAAATAAACACCATAAACTTTGAAATTATAGGAGTTTTTCTCTAATTTCCAAATTTTCTGTAATACCGTTATAGCATTCTTGCAATTTAAAAAAAAAAAAAAAAAAAGTATTGGCTAGGCACAGTGACTCATGTCTGTAATCCCAGCACTTTGAGAGGCCAAGGCAGGAGGATCACTTGAGGCCAGGAGTTCAAGACCAGCCTGGCCAACATAGCAAGACCTCGTCTCTACAAAAAAATTTAAAAATTAACCAGGCATAGGGGCACATGTCTGTAGTCCTAGCTACTAGGGAGGCTGAGGCAGGATGATGGCTTGAGCCCAGGAATTCAAGGTTACAGTGAGCTGTGATCATGCCACTACACTCCAGCCTGGGTGACAAAGTAAGACCCTGACTCCAATAAATAAAATATGAATATAAATAAATAAATAAAAGCAATAAAAGGAAAAGTACTTTTATACCACCTATTGTTTTAGACCATATACTAGGATTTTTTTATTAAGTCCCTATTTAAGGGCTTCTTTATTATTAAAAAAAGAATCCTCACTAAACTAAAACAAGAAAACTTCAGTATAAAGCTGAACTGCTGAAAGAATATTTAAAAACTCTTATCATATCTCAGTAAAATAAACCTTTATCATCAAGAGCACTAATTGTGCACACACCATTGTATCAAGATACCATCAAAGGCACTGGAGATTCACAGGCAAAAGAGCTGGCTTTTACCCTCAAGAAGTTTACTACAAAATTAAAACAAGGCATGTGAAAAAAAAGAATCAATAACACAAAGGAGCATTTGACATGCCAAGCATCTAGCACACAGAGAACTATAGCATAACAGCTTTTCAAGTCCTATAGACCTTGGTTTAAATCTTAGATCAACCACTCACTAGCTTATGTAAATTACTTCCCTCATTTGTAAAATGGATTGTTAGATTAAGAGAAGTAAAATTCCTGGCATACAGTAACACCCAAAGGGAAACTAATAGTATTGTTATTATTAGGGATAGGGGCATTAGAGGAAGAAATGGACAATTGGAAAAGTTTAAAAAGGAGAAAGTAGGCCGGGCACAGTGGCTCATGCCTGTAATCCTAGCACTCTGGGAGGCCGAGGTGGGTGGATCGCTCAAGGTCAGGAGTTCTAGACCAGCCTGAGCAAGAGTGAGACCCCGTCTCTACCAAAAAATAGAAAGAAATTATCTGGACAACTAAAGATATAT